GCCAGGAATCTCCAGAGCTAAAAAAACATGCAGGGACTGCCTGACGAGAAGGGCCTTTTTATAAAGGGTTATGCATTATTTTTGTTCAAAGGAAGCTCTTCCCACATGTCTGACAGCTACAGGGGGTTGAAGCTTGAATGAGCTTGTGTGGCAGTTACCCTCCTGATTGATACCCTGGGGCTGAACTTTTGGTCCCACCAAACTGAAAACATAAATTGCCACAGCTTGAACTAAGAAGCAATATTTTTAGCAGGGCACTGTAACAAATCATACCCTCTGCGGGTTGGCCCAGAAGGAGCAATGTCCAAAACACATGCTTACCAGCTGTTTATGCAAGTAGCCTCTATCACGAGAGTGAACAACAAGTGAGAACAGGATTGCTGTAGAGCTCTCTCATGCTGATTTAGTTGTAAATTAGGCTGTATCTGAGCCTTATTTAAAAGAAAAAAATTATGTAGCAAAACTGAAAGTGCACAGAGAGCTACAAATGAAGCCTGAATCTGCCAACACAAACAGGAGAAACAGAACTGATCGGTAACAATGGTAATTAATTTTCAAGGGAAAATATTTTTACTGGCCACCTATTCTTTTCTGACAGTTTTTCCACAAACAGAGGACTTTAATTTAGGCACTGATATCATAGGTAGAAGACACACGTTACGAAAAATCAAGGTTCAGTTCTTCCTTTATCCTAGAGCTTGTCCTCATATACGAAGCACTGTATCAAGGTTTTCAAAAGAGAGTTTCCAATCCAAAACTGGTATGCGTATGGAAATTGGTTATACACAAAAAAAGGACATTCTATGTTTGTCTTCAGTAACTGTGCTTTACTGGGATAGGCTGGAAAGGTTCACCGAGGAATACTATTTACAGTGCATTATCTGAAATAAAATGTGATGCAAAAGCAATTAAAAGAAGAGAAGGCTAAGTGTGAAACTTTCTTTGTAGTCAGCTGCTGATCCACAGATGAGTCATTCGTAAAGGCTCGCTCAGGTTTCAGCTCATCACCAGTTCTGAATCTTCTGAAACCATTTCCAGAGACACAGTTTAGTCAGACGTGCCTCAGTCATCATTCCACCTTCAGCAGTGCTACACAGGAGAATACAGGGCAGAGTTTTCCTCTCTCCACTGCTTTTCTTTGTCACCTCTGCAACGTGATGGCACTGGCTGTGCCGTTTCCATGCTGCAAGGGCTTTTCTTTCCCTTATGCCTGGAGCTATTGGGATCGTTGGCTTTAACACACGGGCAGAGCAGGACAGAAAGCCATAACAGGAGCAGTGAAGCCAACCGGCAGCTCAGCGACAGCAGATGGTGGAGCCCTCCTCAACACAGCAAGCCTCAGTGGTAGCGTATCAGGAATAACTCAGAGAGAAGTGCCTAAAAGCTTGGCTCTGGAGAGGCACGTCCATAGCAGCACCATCAACATGGAGATGGCTGTGCCAGTCTTGGCTCTCCAAACCCGTAACCTCCGATGCAGGACAATGCAAACGCGTGCATTAGGAAGCAGAGTTACTGGGCATGAACAGTGGCTGCTTTGCAAAGCAATTATCAAATAAAACACAAACATACCCACATCTGTGGATTTTGTGGCCTAGAACATTTTTGTTATTAAAATTCTCCTGCTCTACAAACAAATAAGACTAGGAAAACATGAAAAGTCATTTTGCTACTATAAAAGGAGTGTTTATAACCAAGCCTGCTAGCTTGCGCTCCAGTCCTGTGATGCGTAAAAAATAAACTACAATAGCAGTGTCCATACTGGTTCTACTGGTTTCCACGGGCTATAACGCTCCTGAGTGAAAATAACATGGCATTTTCCCTCATCCTTCTCGTGTTCCCTTTGCCTGAGAGAAAGACACTGCCTCAGCAGCACTCCCAGTCTCGGGTACCATAAGAGCAACGCTGGAACTGCGGGCCTGAACGACAGGCAATATGTTCTGCTGCCTCGGGTCTGCTACTGCTGCCTCCCAACGCGGACAAGTGATTCCCACAGCGTCGCAGCCCCTCCTGCCTCAGGCTGGACCTGATACAGCACAGAGTTGTTCTGTCACTACACCCACAAGTTACAGCATCTGATGTGGACAATAAATGGACTAATGGTTATTTCTTCATTTGGTTTGTTTTTTGGTTTTTGGTTGTTGTTTTTTTTTTTCCCTAGTGCCCTGAGCTAGCGCTGTAAATCGATGACAGGGAGCTCATGCACACGGTTTGTATGCAAGCAAATTCAATTACTAAACCAAAACAGCAACACGAATCAACCGAAATGGTAGTCTTAGAGACAAATTAAAAAGAATGTCTTCTTCCAGTTTTATATTTGAACTCTTTTCAATCTTCTTTCCAGCTCAGCATACATTTTGACAGTCATCAAACAGTGGCGACAGCTACCAAGGGGGCTGCCTGGTTTTAGGCATTCTGCCTTTATTTAAAAACGTCACTCAGCCCCAAATCACATGAGACTTGAAATATTTCCCAAGGTTAGAAACCTTCCCTTTCTGAATGGAAATACACTCCATGGAAGCCTGAAGCCTCACCAAAATCACAAAACCAATAATTTCATTGAAATCGCACAAAGTGTTCTTCATCTATGGCTCTGAGCCTCCCTTACCGTGCAGTATGCCCTCCAGTTTGTGAGCTTCTCCCAGGACATTCAACCCCCGAATCCCAACTCTAAAGCAAGAAGCAAGCAACTGCCAAGCAGATGTTATTTCCATCAGATTCAATGACCTTCAAGAGTCACCAAAGGAGAGGTTGGAAGTTAATACCTCTTTACTGCTCTTGAAGAGGTCAGAGCCAACATTGCAGAGCTTTCAGGTACTGTCTTCCATGGCAAGTATGTTAAAAACTCTGGCATGACCTCCTGTCCTGCTACATCCATGGATGTCTGTACAGCATGCTACATGGTGGGCATGATCCAGAACCATGGAAACCATTTTCCTGCTTCAGGGTTGTGGTGTCTGGAAACCCTGGTAAACTTTGTCCAAAGTAGATCTGCTAGATGGATTTTCCCTGAGCTGCTCATCCTGAAAGCAATGGGACCTCTTGCCTGTTCTGAGCAATTCCCTCTGCTTTACATTTGCCAGTGTTTCTCAAATGAGAAATTCAGATTTAACATCCTACATCCAGTGAATCTGCATTTTCTGTCTATGCTTTGTTTCAAAGGAAGATTTCTGATAGCAATACCTAATGTTTCTGTCTTTCCCTGTTGCATGCTGGCACTGCTTCTCTGAAGGCACTGAATCCAGTAACTACAATGAAGATCTGTTGACTTCACCAGCTGAGGCCTGGAGACAAAATGTTTTCTACACAGAATGGGACTATACTTCATTATTTTCACTATGTTATTTGAACAGCCAATGTTCAGAGTGAGTATGAGTATACGCATTTCTACAAAGCATGCAGAGTTCCCTTCCACAGCTGGGACTCCAAGGGACAAAGAAAAAAGCTCTAGTGTGCTGAATTTGTATCCTAATTTCATTCATGCATGGTTGATATTAAACCAGCAGAAAAGTCAGAATAGTCCATGATATTTGCTTAGCATGGTCCAGAAACAAAAGAAAAGGTTGTAAGTTAAAAGTGAGAAAAAAACAGTTGATACATGGTATGATCAGATCTGGGATATAAAAATGGCATGATCTGAGTATGAAAACCTCTCATTTTCATTAGTTAAAATACTCATACTTCTTTTGACAATATAGACCAATTGATCTCAAGATAGAAGAACAGTCAGGCATGGGGTGCTATTGGGCCCATTAACAACACTTGTACTGAATTATGTAAATCATTTAAATGGAGGAGATTCACCAGATGGTTTCCACTGGGAGACCTGAGCCTTAGTGCATACATCTGCATTACCTGCTTGCAGCTAAAATCTTCTCCGTTACTTTCAGTTGTGATAATCTTTTTTTCCCCATCTGCTTTTTTTATTATTATAACTGTTTATTTTTCCAGGAAAGGGAATTAATTCTTGCTGCTAGCTTAGTCTTAAATAGTGCTGCCAACTGTGACGAGAATTTGGTTTCATAATATAGTAGACAAAAAAGAGTTTATTGGTTCAAAAATTATTTCACAGATATGAGTGTCGATAATTAGGTGTAGTTCTGCATTACATTTACTATAGCAGACAGAATCATTAGGATCAAAAATACAGCTTGAAATTACTTTTATGATACTGGTACTTAATAAACAGGTAGTAGTTTTGTCACCATGAACTCTTCTAATTTATAGCTGATAGAAAAAACAGTCTTACTCAACAAAACTGAATGAAAAAGCCTCATTGGGAGCATTTTAGTCAAAAAACATGTTCTATTCAAACTGAGATGGCTTGCTAACATACAGTGTTGAATACCTTGAATTTTTCTTGCAAAAGGGGAAAAAAAAAAAAAAAAGAGTATTCACTGGATGAAGTAACACTCTAGGCAAGGAAATAGGCTGGAGTGTAATCAGCAGAGACCATGCCCATACTGTGCCTCAGAAATCAATCTGAAAGTTTCTCTAGGAATCATAATTTTTTGCTGGTCTTAAACAGCAGCAGATGACAATGCCCCACACAGCAGTTCAGCTATGCTGGCCAATTCATTAGCATGGCAGAACTAATTCTTTATCTGTTTTCTCCCATTCTAAATATGTCTGCTCTAACTGAAGTGAGAAACAGTACGCTCAGATCCTGGATTCCCTTACGTAGGTACTTAAACAAAATCACAGTTAAATAATATTTGATTTAGACAAATAAATGCCTTTGCAGATCTGAGCCTTTCTTTTCAAGCTAGCTGCACTCCCATTGTTTCCTTCTTCTCACAGTAACTTGTCATACAGATCATACTCACTTCAGTTTCTGTATGCCTAAATATATTCTTCTATGTAGGTTCTTGAATATAAAAATGCCAAAGTTTGTCCACAAAAAGAAGACATGGTTGGTGATGTTTTTACACAAGCTTTTTTTTGTTTATTTCATACAGTTTTTGTAATAAAAGAGAGACTATATATAGATTAAAGAATCCTACCCGGTTGCCTTCAAACTTTGACCGATCGTTGTTTGCCTTTGCCGTTTTTTCTGCAAGTTTCTTCTGTCTTTGAGGGCCTTTTCCAAAGAAAATGTAGTTGACAAAGGCGTATTCAAGTAAGGCCAAGAAGACAAATACAAAGCAGCCCATAAGATACATGTCAATGGCTTTAACATATGGAATTTTAGGCAAAGTCTCTCGCAGATGGGTGTTGATTGTTGTCATAGTCAGCACAGTCGTAATTCCTACACAAAGAAAAAAGAGCACATATCTTACAACTCCAAGCATACCATGCTTCAATTTTATTTTCCTTTTCGGCAAATTTGCCTTGTCAGTGTGAAGAAGCTTAAAAATTTGTGAAAGATATCTCACAGGTGACATCACTGCAAATGAAAGCAAAATTAAAGCTTGATGCATTATTACTCTCTTACAGCATTTCCTTCATATGATCAGGGAGAACAGCTAACGGGGGGCCTGGCACTACTGCCATGAGTTAATGTAGCTTCATGGAAGCCAGTGTAGCTGTACGGAGCATCTCTTCCCTAAAGACCAAACTGATCTGCGACAGAAACGCAAATAGCCTGCCAAGCATTAAAAGGTATGCTCTTCCAGCACTGTGCTGCTCAATACAATAGAGAGAAGTTTTTAAAAAGTAACAGAACTAATTAGGGGTCTGGATAGATAAAACCATGTGCACATATTAAGGCAGAGTGTTCGTATAGATGGTGAAAGATTCCTCTACTGCAGTTTTAAATTTCTAAGAGTTAAGCAGTTGGTTGAAGTTAGTCCTGTAGGGCTCCCCTGTAGTAGATGGAGAGAGACAGGCACCTTCCCAGAGCAGTTCTTCCCATCTATTTTAGACACCTATTTCAGGAAAGGACAATATGGAAGAGGGATTTGAGATGACTACTTTAGAGCAGTAGTCTAATTTTTACATAGAAAGAAGTGAGATGAGCAGTGTGAGGCAGATAGAGATGTGCATTTGTGGAAAGAAAAAGCCAAGGAGGAGAGCAGCATTCTTATGAATGTTGTGACTGGAGACTAATGGAGTACCTAGAAAAATCTATAAGGGATGTCAAACCCTCATTTATTTACCTAAGGATGGACATAGCACCTGAAAATATATTACAGAGCACTGTTTTGAAAAGCTGGTAAGAAAAGCAAATTTATTGTCAGTCTGCTTGAATTCACAATAAACTGCAGGGTCTGTATCTCTGCTGGAAATTTTATGGGAATTGCAAATCACAGGTTGCTGAAAACACTGATTTGTGGAATAAGCCTACATTGGTAAAAGAGGCAACCCATTCTAATAGGCCCCCTCCATTACTATTTTCTCTGATTCCATAATTATACCATCAGTTTCTAAGTAGTCACTAAAATGCAGGCAGAACAAAAATAAAGAACAAGAGAAAATTGCTGCCATATTATGAAGCACAGCTTCTTTTACCTGAAGATACAGAAATAAAGACAATATAACTCAAAATCAAGCTGTTGCAGAAAACAGTGTCACTCCAGGGCACTGTAGTAGTAGCCTATGAGGTTCTGTAACAGCTATTTTGTATATTTAGTAGGTCAGCGTCATGCAGTTTTCAGTGCTTTTCCTCTAACTGTGAAACAAGTGTGTGTTGATGTCAGATGGTTCATGGCTTGAAATACAGCAGAGACACACAGACCACAAGCTTACTTAAAAATTGTATTGGGTATAACTCCCCCAGCTCTGCAGTAAAATAAGTATAGCTGACATATTATTTTTACCTAAAGAAACTTTGACAAAGTCTCTAGAAAACCCCCATGCCAGCACGAGGAACAGGGGTAAGAAAGCTGGAGGACTGCAGCGAAGGCTGTCATACGTTTGCAGCCCAAGGGATTTCTTTAGCCTGAACTAGCTTCTATCTCTGTAAGACTACTTGCTGCTGCTTCCCATAAGGGATTCCCAAAGCTACATAAGATCAAATTGATTTTTGTATCAGAAATCCCTGATCCCTTTTAACACACCGTTGGCATCTCACTATCATCCCACAGACACTTACCAAAGCCTGCCCAGTGGGTGTTACAATGCCCACATTTTTGGTGTCTGTTCCCAGGCTGTAATCTTGATTCCAGAGAGAAGTCCTTAAACACCACACAGGGGGAGTTTGATGGCTCTCTTCGTGATGCAGAAGATTAAGCACACTGAATAGAAAGGTGGCTACTGCTAACCAAAAGGAAATATGTCCCCTGGGAGATTCTGCTGACACCCTGCAGGCAAATGCCCTTCTGAAGATCAATAATTTATTTTAAAGCACAGCTGGAGGACAAGCAGCTGACACTTATCTATCATATAAAAATAGGATAATCTTGTGATTACAGCCCTTCCCAAAAGTCAGAACTCTTGAGATTATTTTTCTCCTCACTGAAAGAACTGAATTTAGGAACTTCTAGGGCTAACTAGTAAAAATTCAGTGTTCAACAGAACTGATGAGTTTTAATACTTCTCTTGACATCAGCCCTATATCAGTCTCTACCCGCAGTGTCCATAGCACATAGTCTCTGGAAGGAGCTGGCCTTTGCTCCACGCCTGGGATTCTCTGTTGAGGAAACTATTCGGTTGAGTGCAGCCTGGACCACAGACAGCGTGTGCAGTGAGGGACCAGGGATGGGAGCAAAACATGGAAGTGAATGAACTAAAATCACGGTCTTTCCGAGAACACAGGCTGCCTGCAGGAATTGAGTAAAAGCTTGTCTCCATGTCCCTAAGGATTGCACAGGGAGTTTTTCCTCAAACAAATACTTAAGCCAGCAGGCCTTATCCTCCTCTGAAATGAGCTTTTCAGAGGTAGCTACACATCTCCAAAGGTGCTGTATTGCCTTTAAACTTTGATACCATTTCATATCAGCTTCAGACTCATAAGAGTGGCTATACAAAGGAACATCAGATTAGACCCACGGTACTGAACTTCATTATAAAAACATCAGGTGATACAAAACATAATCACCAAGTGTCTAATTGTTTTCTCAGAAAAAGCTATTAGATGGATTTTCATCCTCTCAAAAGTACTTTCTATCAATTGGAAATTGAACAACTGGGCTCCTGAGCTTGCTTTGAATGTACTGTCTGACTTTTGTTATAACATTTGTGTTATCACAGTATAGTACTTGATGAACTTGTGCTACACAGAAATAGGCCACACGAGACAGTCCTGTTCCTTAAACAAGGAAAAACTATGTGAACTCATTATAGAAGGGCGTGGAACATCACTGGGTTTGATAACTTCTGTCTAACCATCTGTTCTCTGTAGTCCTGGCCAGTATGTAAAATCTAGATGCTGACTGACGTGTGTGAAGTGCTCTCCTCACTCAGTCATAATGTCTCCAGGGTGGATCTTTGGTATCCAGTAGTTCATTTATGAATACATCAGAGCTGTTTGGACTCATGTCTCACCTCCCAGTAAGCTACTGCTTATCTGCGACCTACTGAACATGTACTAGCTGCTCAGTGGTAATGTCAGATTGTGCCACACCCATATGTACCAGCTAATCCACAGTATCTGTAGAATTACTGTACAGTAACTGCAGTTAATCTACAACATCATCAGTTGCCCAAGTTCAGATGCTAGGATGTAATATGATATTGCACAAAGGTACAGCTATGGCTGCCCAGCCTGCTTTGGTATGTGGGACCTTGGGAGGTATGGGGTACAGAGATGGGAAATCATATGGAAATGGGTTGGAAACCCAGTTTGCTGTAGTACATATGAGAAAAACAAGGGAATTAGGGAATATGTTCCTGTTTTAAGAAGAGAGTATAGCAGGAAGTTACACAGCATAGGCTTAGTGTCAAATTTGGGGTAGGAAGGTATGTGCTATTGGGAAGCACAGGGTTGAAGACGAGATTTGGGATGAGCTGAGAGGCAGCAGTAGTTATAAGGATTTATGGATCCATTTAATCTTCCTTGTCTATAGACATCCCTAAGTATTCTTCTGTAAAAGATGAAATATTTCCTGTGAGATATTTTTAAGCCACCTTCCCTTATCTAAAGGATACTTTGATCTGAAAAGGTCTTAGACAGGGATCACCAACCTGTGTCATATCCATATTTTTCTGCCATGAGGTAAATGACACTTTAAGCTGTCACAAAAATGCACTTAGCATACTGTGCATTCTGAGAGTTAGGCGGGATGTCATGGTCCATAACTGACGAGCCCCCGCGCTCTGAACTAGCACATGGTTCCTGAGGCCTGTTCCTGCCACTGTCAGTTAAAGCACCCAGGACCTCAGGAGGAGGCTTGAACCCACACTTGTCTTCCCACACTGAGCTGGACTAAAAGCCCATGCTCAAGCCCTTGGAGTATGATTCTGGAGCTGGTCCCCTCACTGAAGTGACTGAAAACAACATTAACTTTGATGAGAACAAGGCTGGGACCCATATGAGCAGCTCATGTCAGTGATTTAGTGGTAGCTACATTCTTGCATGCAGGGGAAAACTCATCACTTTTGAGGCAATACTGGATGACATGATTTTGACGCATATGATTTTGGAATATCAAAACACTGACATCATGTTGCAGTCTTTAACAACCTCCAAAGGCTACATTCAGTCTGACATTTTAATGTCCCACTCATTCTTAGCACATACCAAGGGCAACTCTTGCTGCTGATGCATCATAATTGATCCAGAATGACACCCATGATAAAATGGTAATCAGTATGGAGGGCATGTAGGTTTGAAGAATAAAGTATCCAATATTTCTCTTCAACCTGAAGCTCAGTGAGAGTCTTGGATAGGCACCTGAGGAAGGGGAGGGGAAAACAGCGTTATTTACACTGAAAAGACACTTGCAGATAGTTGTCTTCAGTTTCTGTAGAAACTAAAGCATTCACATTTTATGAGGTAGTATGACATCTGCACAACAGCAGGGAAAACACCTTCACTGTGTTACTGGTTGGTATTAAATGAAACTTTGCAGTGAATATAGTGATATTCAAGCAATTTGTATTTGGGAAGAAAAGAGAGAGAGAAAGTCATTCTAGATTATTGAACAGATGGGTGAGTACCGATTAGTTTTTAAAAACAGATGCTTAGGTCTCCAAGTAAAATGCTTATCCAAATACACAGTTTTATATATAGTATTTATATTGAGAGGATTAATAATGTGCATCATTTTTCATTTACATGGAAGAGTTGTTCATGAGATGGCACTTCTTAATTACATCTGAACTATGAGAAACATGCTACCTGTGATGTCAAAAATAAATTGTAATGAATCTCTATGAGGAAAAGCCTTCAGACCAGATCCTCTAACATCAATTAGAGCCAGACACAATTTTTCTTTCAAAAATATTTTAAGGAAAGAAAAGATGATTTTATATGTGTGTGTATATATACAGACATACAGTATATATATATAGGATTCATGAATTGTTACAATTGGAGCAAATAAATACAGGAAAAAATGAATAACCTCTATGTCAATATTTCAAACAAAACATTTTATTATTTAACTTCAAACTGGCGTATTTCAAAATTGGTGTTAATCTTACTGAATGTATTTTATATATTTAGAAATCTCAGTTAAAAAATATGACTTCTTCTACCAAATGCAAAGAGGATTAAATCTGAATACAGCTGTACAAGAAAAAGGTAGTCATTCACACATTAGCTCCATGATTTCAGTGTTTGCATTATTACTCTTGGATATGATACTTCTAATAGCTCATCTAAAAGCTCCAGCTATAGACAACATTCTAAAAAACATTTCTGAATATACCAAGGGCCCAACTAGATACTAGATCACACCCCACTCATTCTAATGTAAATACGTGCAAGATATGAAAGATTACATCTAGAAACAAATAAAAGATTACAAACTTCCCTTTAAATTATGCTCATATGTTTGCACATGAGCATAATTACATTTGCCCATATACACAAGAATGATGGATTTCCTGAGAGAGAAAGCGAAAGAAGGAATAGAAAACTGCAGATTTCTCTTCATCACATTCCTGATAGTTCAGTATGCTTTGAGTCATATGACAGAAAAAATGCTACACCATCTCCAGGCAGCAGAAGCATGCAGAGAGTATCAAACTTATTCAACTATCCTTAACTGTTTTATCACACAATCTCAGAAGGACTATCACTGGAAAAAGAAATATCTTGTAGATGTATTTGGTTGCTGTGATTACTTCAATCAGTAGTAATTTTCTCCAGGATGAAATGCCTTCCAGTTTCACCAATAAAAGAATATTGATGGAATCAGAAGAATTTATTTCATCATGAAAATCAGACCAAGATTTTCTGCTGTCTAAAGCGGTCAATTTTCAGCAAAGAATCATTTAGACTTTAGCTTGTTTAACATCATCATTTTCCAATGAACAATGTTTCATTTCAAAAGACAAATTCTCTCTTTGAAACCATGCCTGCTTTTTTGCTAACAAAGCTTAACTTCTTCATTGAGCTTCTTATGAAGTGGTTTCCATGGCCTTGTGTCTGCAGACTATGTAAATAAAACAGGAGCATTCCCTGCCACCATGAAATACATTAAAAATGCAGCAGACCTGATCATCTTTCTGCAATGAGTAGTGCATCAGACAGAAATCTTTATAAAATTCTGTTGAGGAAAATTATTTCATATAACACACCACCCACACAAAGGATTCTCTGTAAATCTCCTCCTTTCCAAAGGTCCTGTCCAAGTCTGGGTGTCTGTGGAATATCATTGATAGAGGTGATGACTGGAAAATGTCCCACAAAATACTGATTCTTTGATAAATAGTCTGAAGAATTCATTCAAGAAGGTTCAGTGGAACTGAATCACTGAATCAAAGCTTCTTGGGTTGCTCCAAGGCCAAGGACTCTGAACGCACTGGGGAACCTCAGAGAAAGAACAGAGCACTTTGCTATTGATAAAGCAGGGAAAATGGTGTGAGTGGAGGAAGCGTGTGTCAACAGCAGAGAGAAGCAATGAGTCATGTATGTCAGTAATGTTCAGGAACGAAATCCTGAACTGAGAAACAGTATAACAGAGCAAACTTTAGACATTTATCTTGAATGCTTCACTCGTGATCATGATCTACTACCTCATCACCATCACTGTCTAATGAGATAAGGTAATTAGTGAAACTAGTGGGACCTGGCCTTACAGGTGGACTCTCCAGACAGCTCGTCTCAACGCCAGAGATGTCAACATAAAGTTGTTTCAAGCACCAGGTTCTTTGTCCTGAAGCTAGAAGATAGAACCCTAAGAGCCATACCTTGGGCCAGGGCTGTCAGTGCTGTCTGTCTTCCTCCTCCAGAGTTGGAGTTGGACTGCAACAGAGAGATTGAGTTGCAAATCTGAAGCTGCACTGTTCCTTTTGAGATGCCCTATGACATCTCAGACACCAGCATCCAGCTGGTGGATATGACATAGCCCCTACAACTTTTTGATCAGCAGCTGGAGACTAAGAAGGCTGCCCTATGTCATCTCAAACAGCAGCTGATTAAGTGACTCACCCGAACTGCTTACACATGAGCTAGGTGTCTAGTTCCAATTACATTTACAGGAGAGACAGTTAATTTAGTCAATCTAGTAAATGACACCTAGAAAATTATCCATCTCCTCCTAAAATAGACTCCTATTGGTGGACTGAATTTGTCTCCAAACTCCATTGACTGTATTGACTAGACTCCCATCACCTAAGACACCTAATTCATATGCAGACATTGAAATTATATTCACCTTAAATCAGAGCAAGATGAATCCCAGCCCTGCAAGTCTCAGCGAAGGTTTTGAGTGTCTGTGGCTCCTGGGCAATCTAACCAAAAGTTTTGCTGGCATTACAGCTACTTAACTGGAGTTGACACATTGCTCAGTTTCATAGAGGTAAAGAAAATGTCATCCTGTTTTCTGGTGATTTTCCAAGCTCAAATTTTATAGGCAGGTCTGGATCTCAGGAAATTTCAGAATAATTTGGGTTTTGTACAGCTCAAGTTGAAAGTGAAACATGAACTCGTAGCCTTGTTTTTTCATACTATGCATCCAGAGTTCTCCTTTAGATAGCTCTCGCTGAGACTACAAAAGTTTGTATTACTTTCACCTATATTGCTTTTTTGCCTTCACAGATGATCTATTGGCCCTGCCTCCAGCCTGCCATCTCTGCTATAATCTCTTACCTCCAGCAAACAGACCACAGCAACCTCTGGAAAAAAAGAATTAAAAGAAGAAACATTCCTTATTTCTGCTATTTATTTCCCCCTCTTTGGCTGGATGGCTAAAGCTCAGTGAAAAGGATGGGTCCTAACCCACACAGAACAAAGACTGTAAGCCCAGATCGTTATTTATCTAAGAAGAAACCATCTTGTGTAATTTATTTAATAAAAACAGATTTCTTGGTGAACTCAACAATTACACTGTTGCTTGCCTGATTATGCTTGGATAATGATTTGTCAATTAAGGCTCAGTAGATTTAGAGATTTATTACCAGGAAATTCCAGTTGTTAACATTCCATCAAAATTTGGTTTTTCCCTAAAGAACAGTGTTGTCGTTCAGAGAATGGATTTGTTACCCATCCTCCTATTTCATGTAACATGTTGATGTCTATGAGCTAATTGAAATAGTATAGCAATAACAGAATTTGGCCTGAAGTATTTAAATCTAACAACAGTATTGAGAATGCAGGCATGAAAACAAATACTTAATCAATAACTGAGCCCCAAATCTTCTTCCATATATTTGGGTAATTGGTAAAAAGTAATTACTTGTTTCTGTTTCAATTTCATTAAAAGCTAGCAAGCTGAAACATCTAGCTCCAAAGCTAAAATAGTCTCTTGCTAACTCTGATAACAGAGTAGGTGAGTTACCGAATTCTTATTTTAATCTGTTCTTCTGGAAAGGTTCTTCAGCTAATTGTAAATGTACTTTACAGACTGATCTTTCAGAATACAGCAAATAATTAATTTTCAAATCTTTTAAGACTACCCTCCTCTTACCAACAGGTTGCTAATCTGGCTCTGCTATGCATCTTGAAGCTTTCAGGTGGTGTTTTACATATCCCCATTCCTGTTCAGTTTCTTAGCGTTTCTGGATAACAAACACTTAGGAGGCGGATTCAGCTCACAGGTCTAGGCACTAAATTTCAGATGTCTGCATGCAGATATTTACACATGGATGGTGCATAAGCTCTCAGTGTAAACCACGGAGATCTAGACTTACAGCCACCTGATCCCAAGGGTGTGATTTAAATGCCTATACAGGGGTGTCTAATGCCATTTGAGATGTGTTAAGCTACTGAAGAGTAGAACTTAATACTAGTTAAGTAATTAATACTGAAGCACTTGATTGTCACATAGGACACAAGACTGTAAGACTCTGGAACAGCAGCCTAACTGCTAAGCAGGACACTGTACAGCATCTCAAGAGGCACCAGACACCTATGTTTAGGCAACTGAATAGTGTCCTAAGAGCTATTCACTTGACAGAGTAGAGGTGTTCAAGAACCGAAGAGCTCTTTAGGCTCCACTGACAGTATTGATTTGATATCATTTGACTATGGGCTTAATTCAGTTACTGACACATAGGCATCCAGTGTCATTTTAGATGGCTTATGGCCTTCAGCTGGTGTTAGAAGGATAGTCAAACCAGATTTTTCTTCTTCATAGCAATTTCAATACTACTTTCTCTTCTCTCCATCATGAATAAAGAGAACAGGCTACTGCCCACGTCTTTGCACATACCTTCTAGACACCTGAAGACTTTATTTACTTCCCAGCAAGTGTTCTCTTTTTTTAAAACTACATGATCATACCTGTTTCTCCGGTAATCTCAAGTATTCCATTTTCTAAACTTCCTCTCATACTTACTAATTTTCCCTAGACCCTCTTCTATTCCTTCACGACTGTCTTGAGGAGTGCTACCCATGATCACAAATACTCAGGTTAGGCCTTAGCAATGCAGGACAGACTCCTTATACGATGTGTTTTGTTGTTGTTTTTTTTTCAAAAAAAAGGTGTTACTGGCTTATGTTCAGTCTGAGATCAACAGTAACCTCTAGATTTCTACACACAGAACCCTGGCCTAATCTGGTATTCCCTATCCTGAATTTGGATAGGAATAATTAGTTGTATAGATGTTGTATTTTGCACTTGTCCATACTTACTTTTATACTTTTTTTTTCACATGCATTTTGCTAATTTGGCAAGATAATTTTTAACTCCAATGCTATGCTTCAACATGCATGCAGTTCCTCCAGTATTCTTGCAGCCCCACACAGCTTTCTCCCATGATCTATGAGGGTTTTCCTATGCTTATCATTGCTTCTCAGTAGTAACTATGGGAACAGATTTTTCCATATGCATAAGTTACACAAGATTATACAACACTGTGCCTCATGGAGGATAGGAGAAATAACTACTCCAAAAGCTGTTTATGACATGACTCTGAAGTCTTCTTTTAGTTTTATACAATCAAAGCACACTAGCACTGAAATCTCTGAAATGTTCACTGAGATATTGTGCTCAAAGAATTAATATCCTCCCTTGAGACTTCAATAACCTCAAAGTGAAAAAAAAAAGCACGCCTGACTTATTTTTCACAAAAATGTAGAAACTGGCTCTAATTACTAGGACCATAAGACACTGCAGTGTTGAGAAGAAATTTCAAGAGAGTGTGCTGACTTTATTCATCAGATTCACTAGTATGCTTCAGATTTAGAATTAAATACGTGCTTTTGAGAAACAAATGTGATGTTTCCCCTGCATGGAAATAGTTGTCACAAAATTTCATAATTAATCAAGCATTTTCATAATGTTCTGCACCAAAATAATAGCATATTCAGTATTGTGTCTTCATCAGTGACAAAAATTAAATGCTTCAGAAAATGGTATAAGAAACATAGAGTAATCTGTTCTCTGTGACTGTCTCATCCTACTCCCTAAAGTCAAGCTGTCTTAAACCCTGAAGTATGAGACTTTTTACTCCTTCCACAAGTTCTTTTGGAAAGGACTGTTATGGTTCTGAAAATTTGGTCAGTCATATAAATGTCTACTCCTAGTTTTCATTCTCTCTCATATTTGTCTCACAACTCTTTGGATTGCTCTTCTTCCTGAATTTTAACAACTCTCTCTCTTCTCTAAATTACGAAATCATGCCTTCACTGAAATATTTCATACTGAACTAAAAGGTGGCTTTGGTCTGTCATAAAAACTTCCCAAGCAAGTTCTCTGTATTCTCACTGTTGTCCAAAAGAGCCATCCTACAAAAGCATATCCAGTCCTGTGGAGGGGCAGGTAAGCCCTGGATGCCAAAGCTGGCACTAGCTGCAGAATGGAAGGATATAGGATTAGAGTATCTGTTTCTTTATAGAAAAAAACCCTTCCATTCACAGTGATAAACAAGAACAGTGGCAGTTGTCAAACTCTCTATATTAATTTCAATTCCAGTAATTACATTTTGCTCTGAAATACAACTTGTGTTTCTGTCTACTTTGAAACAGATGCTGTGTCCAAAGAATGTAATGTTTGTAAGCATCACTTCACCCATAACAGAGCTGTGCTTCATTTGTTCCAGTATGCTGGGACAGACAAACAGCACATTCCTGAGGTCTGAAGAGCACTGAAAATGCGGAGGTCCCAAATAGTGGCCTCACACTTGCTGATGGCTTTCTGTGTTGCTTTGGTCTTGCCACACATAACAACGTTTTCCTATGCTGGTGTCTAAAATTAAAGATGTAATTCAACATTGTGCTTTGTCACCTGAAAACATCTAATATTGTGAGTTACCAGTAACTTTTATCACATCTTCAAGGAAACAAGAAGGAAACCCAAGGATTTAATTTTAGCATCTTAATGACGACAAAAGCACTGGCTATGTATATAGTACTATATACCCATCAGTGCAAATCAAGATATAAAAGACATTACATTCACCATACAACAAGAAAACAAACATGCACTGAAAAGTTGGAGGGAGGTGTTCATAAAAACAGTGGCTTTTTGACCTAGTATGCCCAAACATACTTATGTATAATCAGTAACTCTGTAGGTTACATTTAAACTAATGATTCAGAGGTGAATGATTTCATATTTATTTAGATCATAGATATTTTGGTGTCTGGTTGTCTGGTTAAGTATCACACACACACACAAAATAAAAATAAACAAGAAATGATATTTCATGGGCTCCTACCTCCAGGCTTTATCAAGTAAGTAATTTCTTTAGCCAAAACCACAACACAGACTATATATAATTATGATAACAATGATTAATTATGATTAATAAAACAGTAACTGTCATACACAAGGAAATTAAACACTAAATGGGCAAATCACTATACTTGCCTGTGGCAAAGACAACATTCTTTGACACCAGTCTATATTCCACGATGGAGAACTGAGGAAGCTCAATCCTCTCCACACCAGTGACTGCGTTATCTCCACCTCTCCAGTAGAACTCTATGTCATCGGTTGTGTAGCCATCTGCAGGCAAAGCAGGAGAGTAAATCAGAAATAACAGCAGACTCAAATGTAGCTTCAAACACAGTACACGTGGTTTGTCATTTGAGACAAAGAAAAGAATCAGAACAGCTGGAGTGGTGTATGGTATTTTGATCTGTATGCCTGTGGGAAGGTCTCCCAAAGAGCTATGCTATTACAGTCTGTCCAGGAATTTGAGGCAAAATACTCTGGTTTTTTTTTTCTTTGTCTTTTTTTTTTATGGTATCACTCATAAAATTCACATAGGGATTAATGGCCCCAAGGAGGCAGAAAATGCTACCCAACAATCTGCAAAACTACAGTTAGTGTGATTTAAGACATCATATGCATTTAGCACTGAAACCCAGTGTATATTTATACTAATAACCATCAGAAGAAGGTGGATTATTCAATGAATACAGACAAACATAGATGGGGCAGATCTTTTCCACTCACACTAAAGAGTGTGTCTCACACCATTTCTATTAGTTTCTGTAGTGGAGGACTACAGCTGAATATAGAACATATACTTGTATTTTCTGTATATGGACCACAATCTCTAGCCAGTAGCAGCAATGGAGCAGGAACTCTCGAAGCACAAATATACATCCAAATATTGCAATCCTAGGATATGACTAGGTAGAAGAGAGAATCTGGTTCTGTTAGGAACACAACTGTAAATCATAAATGGGGCCTATCTGAAAGCTCAGGGGGGGTCCTTCAGCAAGATCATCCCTGCATAAAAAAGTATACTGAAAGAAAATTATATCACAGTGTTTGCTGTCTTGAAAATGAATGTGGTCAAAATAGGAATATTCATTCTCTTGTGTTAAAGATAAGCAGCCAGTCACTGCTTCTGTCAAGTCAGGCTGGAGCAAAAATGACTTCATCTGTCCTAAACCTGTTTTTCTAGGATTCATCCAGTCACCTAGAAATGGATGACCCCTTATATTTTTTAAAAAAGTCAAATAAACAAACAAACAAAAAATCCTAGTGTTTATAGACACCAGTATAAATATTACACAGTTCTATAAAAGGAAAACTGTCCCGCATCTGAACTAGGTTTTACTTGTATTTTATTATGTACGTACAGCTTTCTATTTCCAGAGTACAGTTTTGTTCATCTAATGGGTATCTTCTCAAGTCCATCATACAAGCTGCAGTGGTTGTGATTCTGAAATACAAACGTCAAACAGAATTACTGTACAGCCAGTAATCCAAGTTTTGTTGTTGTTTATTTTTCAAAGTGAGGTCTCTCTGAAGAATAGCTTACAATAATTGAGAATCTGGTCCATAGGCTTATGTTGAGCAGCAGCTTAATACAACAGCGGTTACACTGACTGCAATGGAACAACTCACTGTGACTTAGCCTTATGCAACCAGTCCCTTTGGGGTTCAAGGGACCTATCCGCATATGCAAATATTACACAAACATTTGCTGAGTTTAAAAAATAAGACTTTATATCAGAAAACGTGAAGCGAAAAAAGTCTGCTACAAGTGTCAAAATGATTACAGCTGTGTGAATAACTGATTCCTTGGTTTTGTGGCAGCTCTGGAAAAAACCTGAAATGTTGAAAAAAAATGTTTTAAGTCTAGCAAAATGCTTTGTTTCAAAGTTGAGTATACTTCTCTAGTTTTCAAATTTAAAGAGGATTTTGTAATTAAGTGCTGTATTGAATTTTAAATTTTCTCCCCAAATAACATATTTTTGCTTCTTTATCTCCAATGCAGGCAATTTAGCACACTGAGGATGAATTTGCAAAACATTTCACTATTGATGAATCTGCATTTTTCATCAAGCTCTTGTATATCAGGAGTGTCAAGAATATACATGCACAATCAAAACAATTGTGTTAACAACTTCACACAGCATTGGCACTTTATTTTTAAATTAATGGATTTATATATTTGTACTAACTTTTAGCCAGATATAATCATGTGCTCATGATTAATCTTCAGCGTATTTCAGTGTTTTGCTGAGTCACAGCCTTCACCAAGAGCATGTAGATTATTATACATCATTTTCTTTATAATGGCTTCATATAAATGTCACATTTAAATTATCTTCTGGGCCTGACTAGGTCCATTCCTTACTGATCCTTTTCTGATATGAACAAGAGATGGGCATTGCAGACAGTTAGTTCCTAAACAAATAATATTCTGGTGATAATTTATGTTAATAATACAAGAGGGGAAATGCCTTAAACGTACCTCTAAAAGCTGGAACCCTCAATGTTTAGGTTTTGTCCATGTGTCTTCTCCGTTTGAAGCTTTGTCTTTAATCCCTTAACCTTCTGACATTACAGTCTTCTAATCTGGTAAACTAATTTAAAATTCAGGGGCAACATTTCAAGAGGAGAAAAGTAGTTTTAGGTGCATTTCTTCACCTCTTTTACCGTGTTGTTATTATGAATACCCTATCCAATCTCCCAGAAAAGGAAGGAAAGAATGCTTATCTTTAGCATACAGGTTATTTCAGATGGATAACCACATAATATCCAAAGGAAGGGATTAAGACCATTATAACTACCTCATAGAACAACAGAGGCCACCCTTCTCTGATTGAGAAGGTGCTTTTACAAGAAAACACTACAATTTCTTTGCACAGAGAGACAGTTATATGAGCACACAGGCAATGGATGAGCTAAGAGAAGAAAAAGCTCAAGGATCTGTTACTCTGCATATCCTCTCACTTGTGTTCCTCCAGTAGCCAGCGAGAAGGGCACACAGCTGATATTTGTCTTTCCCAGCCTTATCTATGGCATGATCATGTCTCTGCCACTGCTGTTCACTCTGAGTGTCCTCTGAATACCCTTATGTTAGTCCCATAGGCTTTCCGGTATCAATTATCGTATCACAGGAGGATACTTGGGTCAACCTTTGTCCAGTTGCCTGCTGGGAGATGCTCTGGTTCCTCTATTAACACGTCCCACTGGGTCGGAATAGTTTACAAACAGCAGTTCCTCAGATGCTATGCAGTTTAGGGGGACATCTTCTCTGCAATCAACATTTGCAAGTGCCCTTCTGGACACTCAAGCAGGGTGCTAGACACAGCGCTATTAATTATGGAATGTCTCCTCAATATGACTACTAGCAGCTCTAGCTAACCTAGAGGGTCTTAGAGGGGAAAACTTAGTCTTAAATCTGTGACCACTGACGAATAAGGTCTTAGCAGTGATCAACTTTACAAAGCCATACTGATTGTGCAATCGAATTATCTTGGTCCTGAGTCAATTGATAACTGTGCTTAAAGTAAAAGAAGCAGGCACACTCGGGCATTGCTGCTATGAGGTTTCTATCCCATGCTGTAGCACCTTCCCCTACACTGACCTAGTTCTCATCTAAGAGCCTTCAGCAGAATCCACATGAGCAAAGTTGATACAAGAGGGAGTGTGGTACCAGGGTCTTAACTATTATGTTGTGTAACTAGCTTTAAATGTCAGTCATACAGAACACATGCACTTACAAATTATTAATTTCACAGAATTATTAAAAATTATGCAGCTGGCAAACTTCCATTCAACTTACTAATTGCCTTACAACTTTTTAAGGAATGTATTTTTATTTTCGCCTGTTCACATACTGTAGTGGTTCTGTGTCACAATTTCCAGTACCAGAAACTGCACATTCTTGTTCAAGTAACATTTTACACTACAGCAAAACTTATGTTTTTAATGTCATAAACATCCACTAGAAAAGAAGATACAGCTAGATATAGATAGAAACAAATTTACTCCATTTACTTAAAGTAAGTTGGGTACTCAGAGGTCCCTCCTGAATGAACGTTCAAGCAACCAAATTTAACTTGCACAAATGCTTACCAAAAGCAAATTTTAATTGCTTAGGCTTGTGCATGCTCCTAAGAAAAGCACGTTTATTTTTTATAGGATGGAATGTTGCCTGACACAGCAGGACAACAAGGTTTCAAGAAATCATCATCACAGCAGTGACAGAGAAACAATTACGAGCCAGACAAAGATAAAGCAGTACACAGATATACATATATTTTGGGTGAAAGCAATACATAAAGGAAGTATTTTTAATTGTTTAAAATTCCCTACTCCAGTTTCTGGATATAGATTCCCTTACCCTTCTCTGCTACTTTATTACCAGGCTGATTGCCTTTGATTATATTGCTATATGGCATAGGAATCCCACCTGTGATGCGCTGGGAGGTGCTGCACAAACACCTGACAGAAGGATGTTTTCTGTCCCCCAAAAGTTTACAATATAAATCAGTCTAAGCAATATAAATACTACTTATGTGACTAGGTCACTGTCCTGATGGCTAATTTCATCCCCTTTTCATCCTGATACAGAAACACACTAATCCAAAAAAAGAACAGAAATAAGTACAGTTGCCTTCTCTGACTGATCACAACTAATCTTTTCACCTCGCAAACATCCATCATGTTTTATATGGTGATAACTACGTGAGTCCTTTCAGATAAAATACATATATTCCTCCACTCTATTTATTTATAACGTTTAGCATTGTACTGCCTGAGAACAAGAGGTCTATACATGGCAAACACGTAAGCAGTTGGAAAGACTCTATTTTTGATCTCCAGTCTATAATGTCATTATTTCTTTTTTAAGTCTATATAAAAAAAGCTGTTGTATCATCATATGTCTGGCATATTGCTCTGAACAAAGTGGAACAAGTCAGTACCATGTCCAAAGAAAAAAATTCCCCAGAAATGAGTTGAACTTCAAAATGTTACTGTCCCATTCCCCCACTCTCATAGACTTTCACTGCAGTAGCAAACTGCTTTCTCTGAAGAAGAGAGAGAGACCTTGGATAACTGAAGGTCAAGTCTTTCAAAATGATGACAAATTCTACATTGTTCAGAAGAGAACACAGAGCCAGTGTGGCCTCCGGATCACTTTCGTTATATATTTTTGGAGTAACTGCTTTGCTCCATGGATATTCTATAATCGGTTGCACCCCTTCAAAATTTCCCCTATTATTCTCAGTGACCTTGTGTCTTGTGGCACATAAAACTCCAGGTTCATGTCTCAGCCCATAGAACGAATCATTGCCTCCAGACTGCAACTTGAGGCCAATGCCATCGGGATGTTCTGAAGCCACAACACAAGAAGATAGGCTGGCAGTAGAGTAACACAAAGTGCAAGTCTTTAAATCAAGAGTTAAGGCTCAGATATTTTCTTCCTTCAGATCATAATTCCTATATTTTGCAAGCTTTAATTTCAGACAGTTATGCTTCATTAAGTAACTCAGCTGCTTCACACCATGGATATCTGACCCTGGATATTGTGTGCTTTCAGAGGAAAGGGAATGGAAAGAAGTGTGCCACACATGAACCCCTGGTGAAATCCCTGCTAAGCAAATACTATCAACTGAAATGCAGTCTGCCTGTGCACATTTATGTTTTGTGGAAGAAGCAGCAAACTTATTCAAATACACTGTTTTATGACAGATAATCCTCAGCTGAATGACTCTGTCACAATCTAAAAATGTTTGGAAAGACTTCTATACATTTTTACAATCACAAGAGTTCTAATCTCCATCAATTTTTTATTACATTTCTTGTGGGGATTGTTCTTGAGATAAACGAAAAAACCCCTATATTGCATCATTTTTTGACATTTAACTACTTGCGGAAAGAATATCAAACCTGCAGTTTTCCATACTTGGTCAATAGCATGTGAGATGAAAGCCTCCTTTTGTAAAAGCAGTTCATTATAAAGACAATATTTCTTGAATATCCTAAACTTCTTTAAAGAATTAAACTTATTTTAACGAATAGACTGAGTCTATTTTTATTTTGTCTAGAAAGATCCATCCAATTATAGCCCATACATGATATGTAATAGGAGTTAAAGAGGTGAGGGGCCAAGACCGAAGTCAGGTAAAAAGTTCAACTGTTGATAAAAACAAAAGCAGGTAAAATAATGATACTAGACATATAATCCATCTGTACCACTTTTCAGATCTCGTTCATTTTTATACTAGGGACTCTTTATCCTGAACTACCTATGTTCAGCAATCTTGAGTATTATCTATGCCTAAAACCACAAGAAATTTCCGATGATGGAATGGAGCTTCCACTGGCAAAGACTTATTTTGCTGGTACAGTTTACACGACTGGAGCAAATGGAGTAACCTGTCCAAAGAAAGCAACTTTTTCATACTACTGAGTCTTCCATTAAGATTTTTGACAGTGTAGTTAAGTTTATTAAGGGCAGGATTTTTTGGCATTCTTAACCTTAAAAGTTATGACAGAAAACAAAGAAAACACAGGTCAAGCCTAAAATACGTAGAAAGTAGGATAATGTAAGGTCACTTTGTACCTCTGGTTTGAAATATAACACATTGCAGTGCTGATTTCTGCTTGAAGAAATCACTGAAGGTACTCATAAGTCATGGTCTTAACTGTGGCTGACCCCATTTAACCAGGGCTGCTTGTGGCTTTTTCTTTATCAACTACAGACACATCAAGAGACAACATAAGCACCCACATTCAATCTTATCGCCTGTATTTTGGACAAAATTTTCAGGTTTACAATTAATGCATGCCTTTCTGCTTCCTATAGCCAGTGGGCTTTCCAGATACGGTGACTCTACAGAAACAGATAAAACCTGACTGAAGATGCTTCTGGCAAAATCAAGAAACATTGAGTGTGTCATTTGTTTTCTACAGGCATCTTTCAGAGTTACAGGGAAGTTACATAATGTGCTACCCAATGTTTGTAATAACCTTGTACCAGGAAGCAAATATCAACAATACATAATGACAGTGATGAAATCTTCATTATGGAAGCACAGACCTGAGGCCGTAAAGCACTGTTCCATCCGGGTGAAGGCGAATCATTCGATTCTTCACAGTAACGCCATGCACAAATGATTTCTTGTCATTTAAGAAGTAAGTGTCAGGCACCCAGAGCTGATCTGCCACTCGGTTGTCAAGCGTGAGGTTGAGAGGTATGCCAGCGTAAGCCAGCCTCTTATCTCTCCAGTACTGTTGAAAGTACATAGTCAAAGTGTAATCCTGGCAAGGAAAAAAAGAGAAGCACAAAAGTCAATCATACTTGGTGTAACTAGAAGAATAATATTTTTTCCCCGTCACTAGCTTATTTTGCTGTTGGTTTAATTAAATTTGAATATTTTTTGGAAAAAAAATGCTTAATAAAAACATTAAATATTCCTATCACTTATTAAATAATTCTAATAAATCAAGTATCACTCTAGTCTAAGGGAGCATTTCAAATCTTAAGAAATTCTGCTAGTATTGTTATCTTTTGTCCTGCTCCTCCTTTTCTTTCATGTAGTTCCCCTGACAACCACCCAAAATTGTGATGTTTGTGGAATGATAAATGAGATAATAGGTAAATACTCCATCTTCTCCATTTTTAAAAGTGAGAAATGAATAGAAAGACATTCGAAGTATTTTGAAGCAGTATGCAAATTTCTGTCTGAAAAATAAGCTGCAAAGATGTTGTTTATACATGTGCCTTTGTGTGAGATGGCATCTTACAGTGACATAAACATTTTCTCATCAACAGGCTACATCAGTACTTAGAAGAATAGTAGATTGTACTAAAGTCCTCTAATGTCAATGTTTGGTTTTCATAATTTTGTCAATTAGGGTCCATGGTGTCTGCTATGAGCTGTGATCACTAACATAATAGCCTAAACATGAATACAGAAGCCTAAAACATCCATTTTAAAACTCTATTATTTCATTTCAGAATTTGCTAACCCAACTTGGTCATTTCGTAATAACGTTATATTGAAATACTTTGAACGTCTTAGACAATAGGCCTCATCCATTAGCTTCACAGTATTACTAAAATTAAAAAAAAAAAAAGTCTGGGAACATTTTAAAGTTAAGTGCCAGCAAAACTGAAAAAAAAAAGAAAAAGAATCACATTAAATAGCTACATTTTCTATTAGAAAAGAAAAATCTTTGTCTTTTCTTTCCCTCATAACTTCAAAATGTGGAAGGGCATTTTTGTTTTCAGAAAGCCTATTTTTATGCATGAAATAAAAAAGGTGAACATCTGAAAATAATACTTGCTTATCTATGGAAATGAATGTTTACAATTAAAGACAACATAGTTTTTAGTTATGATAATACTGCCATATTTAACAATATAACAAATGAGGCCATAAGTACAGGCCATTAAAAATCTGATTTTCAAATTACAGAAGTGCTCTAAATGATAAAACTCTTCATGAAACTCTTCACAAAACACTGAGAAATTTATGTGATCTCCAAACACATTTAAATATTTAGCAGCAGGTGTGCAAGCCACAGGATACCTGTATTTGCATCTGGTTCTACAAGCTGGTGATGCAAAACCCCTCAGGCTTGCTGCTTGTTTGGGAAAAGGATGCTCAGGCTTTCTAAGTATGGCTGTTGGGAACAGACCATTCTTGTAATGGCTTTCATGTGGGGACAACCCAATTTCAGGCACTGATCCTGCCCTGCTTCCCTCAAACCCTACAGCCTTTCCTTGAAATCAAATGAAATTTGAGCATGCCTTTCACACTCAGAGCCTTTGCATTTTTTATTCAGTGATTCATTCTCTTTAGTGAGGGAGCTACAATAGCTTTAAGAAATGAAATTTAATTGCTTAGAAAAATAAATCATTATAGAGATCAAGGATAAGCTGGTCCTATTTTAGGAAACTAATAGGAGACCTTTGAAAACAAAAGGGCCCAGTGATGGGAGAAAGGAGTCGTGTGGAACTGCCTGGAAGGAAGCTCATTCCTCAAAACTCAAATCCAACATGACTGCTCAGGAGAACGTGCTCCGACCTTTTTGTCCGCAGCTTTCTTCACTGGGACTAATGGTCCCTGCTCGTCAGTGAAGGAGGTACACGCTACCCTGGGTGCACTTGCCTCGCTCCCATTAGCATGTCAGGAAGACCACATCTCTCCTCATGTTCTTGGCAACCAGTTTTCTGACGCTGATGCATTAGAACGAATATCCTCTACCAGCTCCATTTTGCCTTAATTAAAGCTTGTTTCTATTAACATTCAAAATTTGCTATGTGCTTGGTTTCTATAATGGTTTGCACATCAATGCCGAGAAATCGGGGATTATAAGAGCTGTAGATATATGAGCAGTACATCAAAAGCTCACTGTGTAAATGCACAGTATATGCACAAAACAATGCTAAACAGGAATAAAGAAATGGGCTGGCACTGGACAGTAGTGAAAGAAGTGAACCGGCTAGCACCAAAATATAAGAGAAGCAGTACATTTGAACACAAGAGAGCTTAAGGCTTGCCTCCTTTTTGCTTTAGATTGAGAGGAAAGACAAGTTAACAGTTAACAAACGGAGTAATTAACTAGCCAAGTAAAACATATGTAACAATACAAGCAGTAATAGTCTGTCATCTTATTTTTAAATAATAAAATTTACCATGGCAAGGAACAACAGAGAAAAAAAGTTACAAATTACACACAGAAACAGCAACATCCAGCAAATATCAAGAACTTCCAGTGTCTTGACTGAAAGACAAACTTCCAAAATACATCCTCTAAGGTAAAAATTTCACTAGTGCTTTCTCAATTAACCCTCACTTCTTATTTCATCTTAAATAAAAAATCCCTATCTATATGTCTGCTAAAGTATATGACTATATTTGCATGTATTGAAAGCATTGATACCCCAAAAAGTTATTCTTAAAAAAAGAACATTATTGCATGAGAAATATCAGCTCATTCCCAATTCTTCACTTGGTATCTACCAAGGAAAATGCTCAAGCAGCATCTTCTGCAATGGCAGTATTCTACTCAGATTCACTGTCGTGTCTGCCTAAGCCCACTCTCTGCACTTTGAACAACAGACATGGCAGAAATCGACTGCCCAAGAAAGCATGTGTGCTACTATACACCTTGAAGGATCACTGTACATTTGTGCTCTGCCAGCCTCACCTGCTCTGAAGATAATGGGATAGAAAGAATTAATATGAACCATGCTTCTTCACCACCACGCTTTTTCCAATCACCTCAAAGCCAAAAGCAGCAGTAAACTCGTATTAGAACTGCACTGAAACTGTGTGGTTGTGCAAGGAGTGGTAAAATGAGCAGGAAAGGTCAGTTCCTCAGGGTGACTTTACCACAGTTACTACCAGTAGAAACTATGCTTATTAAAACCCATAAGGATGTCAGGTCTCATTCTTTGATTAACTAATTTGCTGGGCTTTGTACCCCCAAAGGAAGTTTTCCCCTTTTCTATACCCCACAGGAAAATGCAAAAATGATTTGCACGTGGACTGGAAAAAATGCACTAGGTATTTGTCAAGTAAAACGAGAAAATGGACTTTTACACCTAGGTGAGTAGCCTACAAAGTTTATTAAGGGCCACCTTCCTCCAGGGGAGCTTATGATTAGCTCTGATACAGAGGTCAAGAGGGTGGATGTCTAAACCTAGAAGAGATTAATCCCACTACAGCTACTGTATTAGGGTGCTGTTATATGTCAAAGATGACACAGAGCTGCCAGCTTTAGGAAATTCTAACTACTGCATAGAGCAGACAACAATTTTATCAGCAGTAAAGACCTCCATAAATCATATTTTTCCCCCATACAATACCATGCCACATTCAAGGTCCCCCTTTCCCCTCTCCAGTTCCTCACAGTAATAGATGCTTCAGGTCGAGCATGGTAACAAAATCACTCAAAGCCCTGGCAGAAGGACAAACACAGTGCTTCTGAAGCACAGGAGAAATGTCCTCAAAATGGGAAAAGCTGAACAGTACATGCAACGTGAGCTTTCTTTTGTGTATATAAAGACCATGGAACATCCTACAAGGATAAAGAACAGTGACGAGCATCCTTGACTTTCTAGCACTGCAACGATGGCACTACGCTAAGGAAAGGCTCACAGAAAGGTGTGCTGATATTTTTTTCAACATAGTTTTCCCTTGCGGGGAAAAAAAAAAAAAAGAAAAAAATTCTAATAGTAATTCTAATAGTAGATAATACTTGGAAAGGAATTTAGATACAACGGTAAAAAGGCTGACACCACAACTTACATACAGTACAATATATCTATGTTCTTTGTGTGTATTATCTGTGATTTCAAAACATCTTAAGCAAGAATTATAGAGGACCACAAATATTGTATGTGCTAACCATTTACAAAGAAATTTTTAAGTGTTTTCTATGTTATATTTGTGTCTCCACAGACTGAACATACCATGTAGGAAGCACAACTATGATTTAACTGCAAAGACACTTCAGACAGGCAGAATGTATTATAGTATGCTACTGTACAGTATCTAATGCACTGACTATAGGACTAATGACCGATACATACTAATATGCTGTAATACTAAAAGCAAACAATAATTTGTTTTCCATTACAGGGTTTGTTATCTTTAGCCTTTCTCTCCTACACTCGGTAAAAGGGAAAGAAAAATTTAAAAATATAGTTTGCTCATCAAAATCAAATTAACAGCATACAGCAGCAATAATGCTCTAAAATTGACTATGACTGTTTACAGTCTTACTGTGTTATGTATCAAGGATGTTAAAGTTTTCCATTAGCTGAAAAAATGTTGTGTTTCTTCAAAATGACTGCTAGAGAACACTAAAATTAATAATTATGATGGAATATTGTTAATACGGCAGTTAAGCAAAAGAAATTATTCATGCAAAATAGAGAAATATATTGAAAATTACTGGAAATTCTGGAAATTTTTATGCAAAATAGAACTATTCCACTGCTTGGGAAGTCAGCCTCGTATCTACTTGAAATGCAGATTCCTGTTTCAGATTTGCATTTGGATGTAAATCCACATCTTTGTTTTCTTGACCAACAGACAAATGGGATTATTATCATCACCTTTTGGATTATTTATTTTTGATGAGTTAATAAAGTAAATACTCTTTCAGTGGATAAAAAGATGTATTGAAAATATTGAAAATCCATGCCTTAGTATCCATATAACTTCAAGGTCCCTTCCTTCATCTTCCACATAATTTCAAAAATTAGATATGGCTGCTGTAGTATAAGGAGCTATTTC